GCATGGTGTAATCACAATTAAAGCGATTCATTATTATACACGACGTTCTTGATTCTGGCACAGTCAGCCGCCATCCTCATCTTTGCCAGCAGCATCAGCAGCACTAGTGTTTGTTGTGCGCCCCGTCGGAGAACAATCAACCCTTAATACCCAATTAAGTATTTTATTTTATTTAGCTCTCCGTCATCTAAGTATTCACATATTGTTGTTGTTTTTGTTGTTGTTTTTGTTGTTGCTGCGGCTGTTGTTGTAGAGTTCTCAAATAGCCAGCCACCCATCCCAACAGAAAATAATCCCTTCCTTTTATCGTCATTTTATTTTATTTCGTTTTTTTTTTTCTCTGAATTCCATTCATCCTTAGCAAATGGCTTGGGTAGGGGATCGTTAAATAATGAATTTTGAATTTTATTGAACAAGTCCGTCTGTCGTCGTCCATTCGCCTATCTTTCTACTTTATCTTCTATTTAATGAAGAATGGACAACTGTTTCGCTAATTGTTTTCGGCACGTTGGCGGCAAGAGATGACATTTTTAGTTTAATTGGTCCCATTTTTTTCTAAAAGTGTAGGAATTATTAAGATTATTTTTTTCTATTCTTTATCCAATTGCTGGTAGTATTTATGGTCCATTGAAAGGGACAATTCATCCTTCAACAAAAGAAAGATGGACAGAAAAAAATCTATTTTTCTCGGAAAAAAATTTACTCGCCATAAAATAAAACACAAAAGAAACAAGTAAAAAATCAGCTAAGTTCGGCCGGACCAAACGCGATTTTTTTTGTCATAGGCCTTTTACGAACTTAAAATACGAAATTTGAAATAATCTCAATATCTCAATTTGTTCTAAACAAAGCGTGACTGCTACAGACGGATAGACACACAGACAGACGGAAGTCGCTAAATCGGCTTAGAATTTTACCCTGATCAGATTTTAGAATAAGTTTAGATTCGTTCGAGTTGGTCACCTTTGACACGAATTATGGCATTCAAACGGCCAATAAAACCGTCACATGCGGCCCGAATGTTGCTCTGCGGTATTTTGGCCCATTCTCGGCGAAGCGCTTGCTTGAGGTGATCAACACTTTAGTATTTTTTAGTGCCAACCTTGCTTTCCAAAATACGCCAGACACAATAGTCCTACGGATTGGTATCCGGAGATTTTGGTGGCCATTGTGCGCTGGAAATGAAGCGAGGAACCTTATTTTGTAACCATTCTTGGGTGGCGCGTGCTGAGTGCGATGGTGCTGAGTCCTGTTGGAATGTCCAAGGTCTGCGGCCAAAATGTTAGCGTGCCCAAGGCTTTAATACAACCTCACGATAATATTCGGCATTTATTCTGATGCCACGGTCGATTAATGTGAGCGGAGAGTGACTATCGGCTGTTTTGGCGGCCCACACCATCACCATGGACGGCGCTTGAGTTCTAGTGGGCAACCGAAGGTGCACATTTTCATCTGACCTCTTTGGCAAGTAAACACGATCATTTTGTTTGTTTACAAACTTCTGGACAACGAATGTTTTCTCATTGGAGAAATCCAAATTCTGAAGTTCACCACTTTCGACCAAGCGAAGCAACTCTTTAGCTCTTTTGAGTCTATTTTTTTCTGTTGCGGTGTAAGTTCTTGCACTTTTTGGAATTTCAATGGCTTAACCCCGAGCTCATTTTTCAATATTTGTCGAATGGAATATTGCGAAATTTTCAGCTCTCGATCCATCTTTCTGCCACTTCGACGCGTGTTTCGATCAAGTCTCTTCTTTACTTTTCGAACCATTTCTGCTGATGTTGCTGTTTTCTTCCGTCCACTTCCTTGACGACGGCTACGCTACCAGTATCACGGTAAAGAGCGATGGTACGAGACACAATAGATTTATTCACATTTAAATGCTGGAGTGCTTTTTGTAGTTTTCCAGCCAAATATTTTTAAAAATCACACTATCCCGCTTGAATTCCATCACGAATAACTTTTTTCTGGAAAATTCTCAACAAAATGCTTTTGTACGCTTATAAACAATAAAATTAGCTATCACTGGAACAATTTTAACAGCTGTCGGACGAGTGGCTTAGAAATGACAGCAGTCTGAAGTTGGTTGCAGTTTTTTTATCTCACCCTGTATATTCTGGAAGATGATGTTGACAAAATGTGGTCGGTTTGAGTAGGTAAAGCGTAGCGTTCACATAGCAGTCGAATGCTGTTTGAATAATTGCTGTGTTTAGTTTCACAACATTGTGGGACTCAATAAGTTTCCATGTTAGTAATGGAAATATTTTTTTAAAACTAAAATCCACTTTTTAGAATATTATTTCATTAATGCAAACGTGAATTCCAATGAAATTAACATTGGTCCAAATACCACGTACATTATTCACTTCGTGTATTATAAGATGATGTGCATCATTCACATTACAGGGGGTCATCACAAACAGATTTAAATCACCCAATCTCTTACCAACCAATCGTACACCCAAACGCCTTCGGATATGTGTGTGCGTGTGCTAAGGACAATATGTAAGCATGGGTGCGCTTATGATGTCAATCCAGTCTCTGCCTGTCGTCGTCAGTGACGCACAAAAACTGTCATAATTTTGTTGAAAACAATGAACTCAGAGAAATGGAATCCTCTTATTGACATTTACAACAATAACAATGAAGACAGTCACAACACAAAGGACTAGCTAAATTTTGCACAGGCAGAGGGGCGAAAGAGAAGAAGGGAAACTATTGACAGGCCAAAGGACTTTTGAAAATGTTCTCATATTATTTTAGGCGTCTGCATGTGAAATATGATCTAGCCAATATCAAACATAATTATTATTGTATTATAGAGATGTTGTTATATTATTATCCCGTCACCATGAGAAGAAGACTTCTTCTGCTTTGGTTTTATTAAAGATAAACTGATACAATATTCAACCAAAATTAAAACAAATGATGATTTAGTAAAGTTCGTATCGCATGTTAACTATAAATAATATATTTTCATTCGAAGAACAATCTCTCCCCATGGCAGCAAGTAAAAATTCTAACCTTAATAAATAACTTTCCAGACATAATGTATTATTTATCACTCAACAGCCCGAAATTAATCTTAAAAACTTTTCTCCTAAAATATTCTTTAAAAGTTTTCATACAATTAATGTACACACATTCATAGCTATATTGGCAGCTATTAAACATTGTTCAAGTGTCTTGTAACGTGCACACAGCCATTGGCCCGCACACTTTGCTGAACCCACAAACAAACAAACAAATACCGTTCCTACACGTTACATTTCTAAATTATTCTAATCAAATATTTACAACCCACACCTGGAGGCCGCCATTGGGCTCACTCACCCCTTTTCAACAATGTCTGTTGCTGGCGTAATGGAAAATTGACGAGTGTGTTATCCTTGATGTAGTATGCATACATTGTATGTGTGTCGGTGTGCGTGCAAGTGCTGCTGTGTGAATCAAAGGGGAATCCTCTTAAATCAGTCATGATAAAATTTCATTTTAACGCCAATCGACAATTTTTCATAAATTGAAGCGTGACGTTGAGCCTTCGTTACTTAAATGAAATTAGAATGGAGTCCTGGAAATAACAGCATTCTATTGCACGCATATCATGGCCAAAAGGCAATTCAATATCTTACGTGAAAAAGGGTGTGATGGATGGATAGCTGGATGTATGTACGAAACAATATCGTATCCTATCTCATATGCCATACGTGTGTGTCTGATAGCAGAATATCACCCCATGAAAAACGCAAGTTCTCGGCTATTTTTAACTTCCTCTACATTCTCCATTAGAACGATAGACCCTTTTAATCCAATTTAGTCCTCATAGCAATGTGACATGTTTTTAAAGCCATGCGGCGGCACAGCTAGACTTCCATTGTTACAGGAATGTTTTTGGCATGCGAAAGAAATTTGAGATTTGTTTGTTGATTATTTTTCATCGTTGTATGTAGTTGGATGCCCGTGGAGGAGGAATAGATTTTCAATAAATGAAAAGATTTGGCAATAAAAAGCGTATGTGTAAAGTGGAACTTCGTGAAAGGTTTAAATAAAAATCATTTCATATTGATAGACATTCGATATTGAAATGGGTTGAAATATTAACATGTGAGAGGTATTGAATTAATAACAGCAATCACTTGTCGTGAGAGATAAACTGTAGGTGGAGTTGAGTTTTAATGTAATTCCAATGGGATTTTATTTTTTAATTATTGAAGGTTTACAAGTTTATATACCCTCTACCTAACGTAGGAGGAAATAAAAGAAAAAAATAAGGGCCAACTCGCAAAACGACCTGGAAATGTTATTATTTCTTTAGGGCTCGTTAGCATCTTTTTCTTGGGAAAATCCATATTTCCCGAGTTATGGTAGCTCATTTTGGGATTAATTGGAAAACACTTATTTGAGTCCATGTATAAATCTTCGCCAAATCTATATTGTATGGGATCTAGATACATACAAATATTTCATCATGGTTTCTACAGAAAACTCTGGCAGTCCTCTCTATATGTTCCCTATAGTTTCACATTGTTTTAAGGACCACCTAGACAATCAATGTGAAGCGCTAGCTCTGGCAGTCCTCTCTATATGTTCCTTATAGATTCACATTGTTCTAAGGACCACCTAGGCAATCAATGTGAAGCGCTAGATCACTATATTTTATTTGAATATATCGGACTTCAAGTCGTGGAGGTTCCTGATTATGATGCCAAATTACAGTACATACATTTTGAAGGAAACTTCGTGGCATAGGCGGCGTTTAACTATGCAGGTTTTGTTACATTCTTGAAAAAGGCTTCTCTTTTTTAAAGGTTATTATCCCCCGTACCTGCTGTAGAATTTCCTTACGAAAAAACTTGTACTAGAGATTCATAGAAGTATATGTGGTAAAATTCCTCAAAATATCTTCCACCAGGCCCTAAACTTAAGATGTTCCAGTAATTCAAGATTTTTACTGGAAAATTTGTGTTAGTATTTGATAAAATGATAAAATTTCCACTTACCTTGATTTGTATATTCAACGCCAATCTGCAAAATCTAGATAATTCACATTCACTGACCCATCGGATAATTGTCTATTATGCTCTGAAAAATCATAAATTCAAATCACTTTTACACAAAAACTACACTTGAAACGTTTTCCTATAATTTTATTATTTGCACCACGAAGATTTTTTATTTTAAACCTCACTTTATTTTTCGCTTCTTTTCTCCACTGTCCATATGTTTTTGACAATTATTTCTTCTCACCCACTTCTTTACCTTTTCAATTTCTAATTGGAAAGTTAAGGATACAATTGAAAAAGAATGTAAATTGAAATTACAGAAAATTCTTTGGTTCCTACATAATTTTCACTGAATTAATAATTAATGAAATGTTAAACCCATTGTCAACGAAAAAGGCGCGTCACTTTCTTGTCAATTTCCTTGTTTGTTTATTCTACAATGTTCTAATGCAAACTCTCTTGGCTTTCTTGCTCTCACAGTGTAAATGACATGCAATTCTTTAGATTCTGTTCACACACTAGTAGTTGCATTTGCAATTGCTCAATGATTTGATTTTTAATAATATAAATACATTTTTCTGTAAATAATTCTATCATATTCTGCATATTCTTCAAACAATCCTTTTAGAAAATCTACATATGGACTCCTACATAGCACAAACATATTGTTTACCTATAAATATCGTTTGTACCTTATGACTTTACTTTACCCTCGCTTAACTAATCGAAAGGATCTACCGCACCAACAACAATATCCCTGATGCTAAAACATTCCGTGCATATTGAGTTCGATTTAATTCTTCAACATTCGATTGTAGTCCTTTAGCTGAGTCCTCTTTTATTGATGTTTTTGCTCTGCCACTGGCATAAATTTTAAATGCTTCAATGCTCTTCATATTGAAAGCCACAAGATGTTGCGTTACTGCCATACACATAAAGCTGGGCAGACACTCGTGCAGTCCTGCCAGTATGCCGTACATATCCGTTTCTTTTGGAAGGTTAAAAGTCAAATTGAATACATCCATGGCATTAGGACAATGAATGGATACGTGTTTTAACTTCTAGATTTTAATACCAGCTATTTTCTTTGTAAAAACATGCAACACCAGTAAACTCTTGTCAGTCCCAATTCATTGCCCTGTTACTGTCGATTGTCCGTGTACAACTTTATCCTTGGTGTTTACAAAAATTCTACCTACATTGTTGTTGTTGTTGCAAGGAAGTTGCCGTTTTGTTGGCATTCCCCCTATTCATTTGATTTACTGGTGACATACATCATTGAAACACAAGTTGCCGGTGGAATAAGCGCCGTGCTGTTAGCACTTCCGTTATATTTTCATTATTTTTTATTTTGGAAAAACATCCTTCTACGAACACAAGGAATATAGGAAACTCCTCTACACCTGTACTCTTTGCAAGGGGAAGAGGGTGTATGTTGCCTTTTGTTTACGCGAATGTCATGTTTCCGTTTGTTTTTTTTAACGACTTTTTTTATTAAATTCTGAATTTATTGACAAGTTTTTCCTTTTATGTATTCACGGGGAAAACAAACAAAAGTTGGAATCATTTGTTATTGATTTATGCTGTTGTTTCTGATTTAGATTTATATTTGCGTCTAAAAAGGGGACAGGAGAATATAAAAAGAATGTAAAAAAATTTTAATATGCTAATGTGGGTTTATTTTATGAACAATAAACATACATAAGAGTTTAATATGCAAGGATATGATTTTTTAAAGTATATTTTTGTTGCTTATAGCTTTATGCGGTTAATCGAAGAAATTATATTATGATTCGTGAGCGCTTTGATCAGGCCGTGTGACATAAGTATATTTATTAGGTTTCGAGGATTTGCAAATATAACACGACTACCAATAATCCTGGGACTGGATTCTTGTTCTGTGAAAATATTAATGTTCTGTGAAAATGAAATTCCCTTTATAAAAGTTTCCATTTTACACTTTCACAGCACAATACCCTTATCAGTATTACCGAAGTACTTCAAGCCTAGAACTATGCTTTAAATTACAAACAAGTATTAAATTTGCTGCTCAGATATTAACTTTCCATTCAGAGCCACATTTTATGGAATATTTTTGTACACATATAAAATCATTGTTTAATTCTTATTCTTTTGTTATCTTTCATTATTTTCTTTTAGCTATCGTTTTTAAAGATAACGGTTTTTGGTGTTATGTTCACTTCAAGTATAAATGTGTCACCCAGTTTTATGTAGCAAATTCAGTAAACGGTTGTTATCGATAACATCTATTGTGAATGAGATATGTCATCAAACAAAACTAGCTCTTGGTGTTCCTATTATTGAATATATGAATTTAATCACTGAAAGTCGCTCAAAAACGTTTGCTTTGTTCCAGAACTGTAAGAATTTAATGATTTTTATTTTTATAGTATGAATAAAAAATAATTATCTAATTCTGTTACTAGTTAACGTCAGTTATTGATAACAGCAATTTTTCGTTTGTTTAAAGATTTGCTAATTAACGATTTTGTTAGTAAGCTAGGGACGGAATGATAACTAGTTGCTGAACCTTGCAAGAATCTTACTTTCTGGAGGAAAACTTAAGATTTTGTGTTTAAATTTATCCAATTTTTGTCAGTAAGGGTGCAAGTACATAAAAGGCTTGAAGTCAAGGCTAGGCATATTAATGTCAAATTATAATGGATAACGACGGCAGGATTTTAGTGCGACTCTGTACTCCCTTTATGAAATGTTACAAAATATGCCTAGCCATGACTTCAAGCTTCTTAGCCTGGAAATAAAGAGCATATTTGGCTCGCTTAAGTCATCGGCTGGCTTTTCGTAGATGAACAAAGGAGTTTTAGGTTGACATAGTTCGATTTTGGCCCTAGGCTCCTTTGTTCATTTCCGAAGAAGCCAGCCGATGACTTATGCCAGCCAGATAAGCGCTTTATGTATTCCCACCTTTATGTACTTGCAGCTTAAGGACAAAAAAGTTAGGGAATCTCAATTACATGCATTTGACAATACGGGTAAAATCAGCCGGTCTTATCGGATGACTAATAGAATATCGATATCTCCTTTCAAAATTAAGTATCGATAATCTTGATAATAACACCAATTGTTTGTCACCTCTAATCTGAAATCTAAATAAATCATCTGGAAAGCAAAATATCCTGAAAACTTCCCAAAATGCACGGTCGCCTTAAAGTACGTACCACCGAAGAAGAGCGTGAGCGCAAAAAGAAGGAACAGGCTTTAAAAGTTAAGGCGTATAAGGCAGCTACAACAAAGATAAGCGCTAAGAGGCAAAACCAGGAATATGATGATGAAATGCTGGCCTACACTACGCCCATCCTGCAGCGTAATCCCGATGTTTCCACTTTGTGGAATATCCGAAGAGAATGTATACTTGCCAAGGTGAAGAAAATCAAAGAGGAAGAAGTTACACCCGAAAAAGAGGCGATTCAAGAGGAGCATATTTTACAAGTATTCGAGACTGAAATGTCTTTGACGGAACAATGCCTTCTGGTCAATCCGAAGAGTTATAATATTTGGCATCATCGTATGTGGTTGCTGGAACAATCACCCAAAGCCAATTGGCAGCGTGAGGTTATGTTGTGCAATAAATACTTAAAAATGGACGAAAGAAATTTCCATACATGGGACTATAAACGTTATGTTGTGGAGAAGGCTCAAGTACCCAAGGAAGAGGAATTAGATTTCTGTACCGAGAAAATTAAAGTCAATTTCTCTAACTACTCTTCGTGGCATCACAGAAGTTTACTGCTGCCCGCCCTCTACCCCTATGAAGGTGATGCAAAACCGAAACGACCCATGAGTGAGGAGAAACTCAAGGAAGAATTGGAGATGGTACTTACTGCGGCCTTTACTGATCCGTACGATAGTTCGGCATGGTTTTATCAACGATGGCTTTTGGGCTATTCCCAACCGGAGTTGGCTGCTTGTGCATTTAGATGTAGCAAAGATAAGACTGTCTTATCATTTACCAAACTCACTACCAAGGAGGATCTTAAGGTTGTACTGACTGGTGATGGCGGCAAGACATTAGAAATAACTGACTTTCTAACACTCAACAATCAAGTATCTGACACGATTTTTTATAGCAAAAATCCAGTAGAGGATCCTTCAATGTATCAAAACTTGGAGGTTTCTTCGAAGGCTTTAACATCAATAACTCTACCTCTTAGTAAATACAATGACGATGCTTATTATTTCCATGCATTGGAGGCTTCTACTACATATACTCCCGATGTTTTGGATCAGCTGAAATCGCAGTTAGAGTCATGTGAGAGCCTCTTGGAATATGAACCGGACAGTAAATGGTGTTTGCTAACATCAGCTCTGCTAATGCGGGCCATCGATTGTCAAGAGTACCACGACAAAACCATGGAGTATTTAAAGAAATTACAAAAAGTTGATAGTCTAAGAGAAAATTATTACAAGGACTTGGCTTCCAAATGGATTCTACAAAAAGCTTTAATTCAATGGTCAAAGACTGATGGTGAACATATGTTGAAATCTATTGATTTGTCACAAGAAGAACAACTAACTTGCCTCACGGATAAGCAATATCTTATAGTAGCTGACGAAATAATCCTATCGAAGGAATTGACCAAACGTTATGAAGGAGGACTAAAGTCTTTTAGCAATATCTAAAAAAATACCTTTCGGGCAAACTTTTAATCAATAGTAAGTAACGAAATACATTTCAGAGATTTATTTATTAATTTGTGTTTGTCTCCTACAGATGAAATATACCAGACTGGTTTGGTCTATACATCGCCTCACACATGGTTTTAGACAAGCTTAAATTCCTTTTAATCTTAGAAATGTATTTATTCCAATATTCCATTGTACACCAATTTTTTTAGGTTGAATAAAAAAATGTATCACAACATATTTATGGGAACATTCACACAATCAAACGAATGAGTTTTTTTTTGGGGAAGTGCTGATAAGGGGTCCTGATTTTTAGATATCAAGCAGCTATTTTAATGCCAGTCGTGCCAATTATGAGTATTATGTTTCAAAATATTTACTCGAAATAAGTTGAAAGAGGTTTGAAATTTTGCACATATATTAATATTAATGTGTGCCATTAATATTTAAATTTAAAATCTCAACTTTTGATATTGAAAAATAGAAATAGGTATTTTGAGATATCTGGTAAATATATTGTACAAATCTCATCAAAAGATGTTGCTCGATTGTTTATTTATTTTTTTCCACAGATACATAGTCCATAGGAACATGAAATATTCCAAAACATCTATGCATTATCATCAATCATTATCGTACATGAATTATCTGTATTATTATTTTGACCTCGGCTTTCTCGAATTATTCAACATACTTACCTCGTTTTACAATTTTGTTTAAAAATAACAAATTAAGTTCACTTACCACGTTACATCCATATTGCAACCTTCTTAGAATGTACTCAAATAGTTTGTCTATTTAATAAATCGAGAAAAATTTTATTTAATCGCTTTGCATCTAAGTTTTTCATCTAACATTTATAAATATTTATATGAACAATTTCTAATAAACAATTATTTTATTATAATTTTTTTGCAAGTTTTAGTTTAATTTGTTTTCATATTAACAACTATTCAAAAATATATATTTTTTTGCAGTTACGAGTTGAATAAAATAATTGATCGTCTGTCTGTGGTTTTTTGCTTATTTTAATGAAATATTGTTGATGTTGTTATTATTAGTTTATATTGTTGTGTAAATAATTTTTAAACCCGTTCATTGATTTTTAATCAAAGTATATATATATTTTTTAAGTTCTTAGGAAACTTGTTTTTAGCTTGGTCCATTCGTACGTTTTTTTTTTTTCAATTCTCAAGTGACTTCCAAAATTGTTTACTGTCTTTTCTTTTGTTTGCGGTTTTTATTAAAGAGTATTTCATTTTAATTTGCACTTTAATTTAAAGCTTAAACTGGTATAGGGAAAGTTGTTTTATCATCTAAAATAGTTTTGATTTATTTTTTTGAAAATATTTAGTTTTTTTGCTTTGTTGTAAGTCTATATTATTTTTACAAAATAGAAACTTTAGGGTTTTGTTATTCATTTTTTTTATATTTTAAAAATATATATTGGTCATTCTTTTTACATTTGCATTAATATATTTTGATACATACATCAATAAAAATCAGTGTAGATAGCGGATGTGCTGTTAAAAGTTAACAAAAATGAAACTTTGCTCATAGTCTGCAATTTTAATGCATTTAGGGAGTGAGTAGGAGGACGGTTTTAAGGTTATCGATTTGAGGGGAAATATCGTCGGTCTCATGCTCAACTGCCTCATACGCCATTAAAATTTTGAGATATATAATTGGTATTACAGTTTTCGTTCTGAGTTTTTGGCCAATTCTTTGATTTTTCATAGTCTGCAGTAGTCGGGGCCATCGTTATTCCACAATTCTGATACTACAGTGACCAGTCAATATGGCCACTGCTATACAGCTGTTAAAATTATTCCAATGACAGCTCATTATATTGTTCACAAGCGTACAAAAGCATTTTAGCGAGAATTTTCCAGAAAAAAGGTTTTCGTGATGCTATTCAAGCGTGATTTCTTTATATTTGGCTGGAAAAACACATGTGGCTACCGTTAGAGCACTCCAGCATTTAAATTTTAATAAATCTTTTGTGTCTCGTACCATCGCTCGTTACCGTGATACTGGTAGCGTAGCCCGATGTCAAGGAAGTGGATGCAAGAAAACAGCAACATCAGCAGAAATGGTTCGAAAAGTAAAGAAGCGACTTGATCGAAACCCGCGTCGCAGTGGCCGAAAAATGGTTCGTGAGCTGAACATATCACAATATTCCATTCGGAAAATATTGAAAAATGAGCTTGGGGTAAAGCCAGACTCAAGAGAGCTATAGAGTTGCTTCGCTTGGCCGAAAGTGGTGAAACGCCGAATTTGGTTTTCTCCGATGAGAAAACGAATGTTTGTCCAGCAGTTTGTAAACAAACAAAATTATCGTGTTTACTTGCCAAAGAGGTCAGCTAAAAATGTGCACCTTCGGTCGGCCACCATAACTCACGCGCCAGCCATAGTGATGGTGTGGGCCGCTATAACAGCCGATGGTCGCTCTCCGCTCGTATTAACACCCAAACATTTTAGCCACAGACCTTTAACATTCCAACAGGAGTGAACACCATCGCACTCAGCGCGCGCTACCCAAGTATGGTTACAAAATGAGGTTCCTCGCTTTATTTCCAGCGCAAAATGGCCACCAAAATCTCCATATATCAATCCGTTGGGACAACTGTGTCTGGAGTATTTTGGAAAGTAAAGTTGGCACTAAAAAATACCATAGTGTCGATCACCTCAAAAAATACCATAGTGTCGATCACCTCATTAGCCATAATTCGTGCCTAAGGTGACCAATTCGAACAAAACTAAACTTTCATTCAAAAAAATTAAAAAAAAAAAATGTAAAAATTATGGAGTTTGAATTTGTTGCAGTTTTTTTTGACTCACCCTGTATAATTAAAAATAGAATTGAAGAGAAAATATTGAAAGAATGAGAATTGATATCAACACACTCAGTGATAAATGACAATGTTTCTACAAGAAGTGTATTGAAATGTTGGAACATAATGAAATATTGTGTTGTTTTTATGCCTTTTTGTTAGTCAATCAATTCTACGAAATATAGAAATGTTAATAAATGTGTCAATTGTATAATCTTTGAAAGAGTATTTCATATAACAAATGTATATTACTTTTAGTAATATATTTATAAAAAATAGTGTTATTTTCATAGGAAAGTTGTTTCAAAAAAGTGAATTCAAAAATACTTTTTGTTTAGAAAAGCATAGGATTAATGGTAAGTTGTTAATAATTGTAAATTAATTTTAGGTAATATATATTGGACCATGTTGTTAATTGTTGTTGGTTAGTTAGTGGTTTTAGTAACATTGTTGCTAATATTTTAATTAGTATACATATATTTAAAATTGGTTAATCTTATTATATAAAAACAAAACTTGTTCTTACTTATGGTATTTTTCTTTTCTTTCAAAATTGAATTGTGGTGTTCTCGTTTGGTTGTTGATTTTGTTTTTTTGTTTTATATTTTTACATAAATATAATTCTTTTTTTATTTAAAGAAATATCAATGATTTACAAATTTATGCATAAATCTTATAGTCTATAATGTTGTGTTGTTTTTGTTTTGTTTCTGTTTTCACTCGCTTGAACAAAAATATGTATATATTATTATTTAATAAAACTTAAAAGAACAGAAGAAACGAAGAAGAAAAATGTGTGTGTATTTTATAATTCATAAAGAATGGTGTGAAAGTGAACTATTTTTTGTATTTTTTTTTGTTACATTGCTAATAATTCTGTTATAGATTTAATTATACATAATTATAAAGTATTAATAATGATAAGATTTCTTTAAGGTAGACTTATGTTTGTTTTATTTTGTTTATACATTTTTTTCTCTTTTAAAGCCTTAAAGCTAAAATCGGGGGCTTTTATTAAAAAATAATAGTTAAGATAAAATAATAATTAAAAAAATAGAATGGAAATAAAATAATTCATAATAATAGTAATTATTATCATTATTGCCTTTTTAAGCAAATTCGTTAATAGGGGGGTTGTATTAATGGATTTTTTAATCTTTTCTTGTTTTAAATTCAATAATTTGTGTGTGCTTTTTTGTTTGTTCAAAACATTCGAATTGTTTTAATGGATATGAGTTGAAATTTTGTTTTAAAAATCTTGGCCACTTCTATCCCATAACTACATACATCTCCATCTCCTTTGTTTAATTGTCACTTCAATGCACTGCATCAATGTCTCTTTGTGCCCTAGATATTTTAAGTTTATCTTTTGGTGTATTATCTTCACCCGATTCCAATGCAAACATTTTCATTTTTTCTTTGAAGGAGAGTTTTTCGGGTACTGCCTCGGTATTGCGTTGTTGCTGCTGTTGTTGTTTTTCTGCCAAACGGCGTGTACGTGGATCTCTGTAAACGTAAAAAGAGGTTTTTAATATTTCAACCATAAAGATTTATATCTTTTTTACAAACTTACCTATATACTTCTTGAGCCCCAATTACGCCGGGAGTTGATTGAACTGTTGTATTCCAAGCAGCAGTGTCTGGAGTGGCTGGCATTGATGGCAACATGGATGTATCGACATTTTGCGGTAGAAACTACAATGAAAACCCCGAAAAGAAAAAATAATTTTAATTTTTAAGGGTGGAGCCATATTATTAAAATTAATAAAAATATTGATTCTCCAACATATTTAAATTCAAGATCGAGGGGAAGTCTCATCACGAAAGGTCAAATGCAATCGGAAGTCACATTTTTAAATAAATCCTCAATACTTACACCACTATCCTCGCGAATGGTATTCAAATCCGAAGCGGCTCCATTGTTACCCGTCATCATATCCATAGCACTATTGTTATTGTATTCCATTTGATGGTATGACGATACGGAACCACCAACAACATAGTTATTCTCTTCATCATGGAACGATACACGTTTATTGTCACGCATCAATATCGACGATGGACTCGACGACGATGTTGCACTATACATATCCATTGTGGACGAGGATGGCGACGATTGTTGGGAGGAAATTAAATTATTTTGTATGTTGTTGTTATTGTTGTTCAGCAAAATGCTTGCAGCCGATGATTTCTTTTGCATATCCGCTGAATTGATGGTGGCTGTCTTTAGGAGACCAATCGAGGAGCTACGTTGTTTTTGTTGTGACATAATCAAGTATGAACTATTACGTTCTGGTGGTGGCGGTGGAGGTGCACCCGATGTATTCTCCATATTCATATTGTTGTCATATGAAGTAGACGATGTTGATGTTGTCGTTGTGGTCGACGCTGACGTTGAGGAGTTTGTGTTTGTGATGGACATGTGGGATATATCACGGACCAGCGACGAGATGGGATGTTCTGTTTGTAGATGTTTTTCATCGGCAAAGGATGCAGATTTTTGTGATTTCGAGGGCGAAGAAGGTGCTGTGCTGGAACCGTCGTAACGATTGTTTTTCAAAATAGATTTTGGCTGGACAGTGGTGGTGCCTGTCACAATTGTTGTGGGTATTGTACTGGGCGGTGGATTAACTGGGATGGGAGGTGGTTGTATGGGCTCAGCTGCCGAGTTACGTGCAGATGACATGGGTGATGTTTCGTTGGAATTATTGCTACGTTGATCGGCCACAACAGAGGCGATTTTAACTTCAGTTTGTCGGAAATTGGTCACTGGCGTTTGAATGACATTTTGTTGGTGATTCAAACGGAAAACTTCTTGGACATTTTCTTTTTCATAGGACGGTTCACTTTCGTCCTCATGCTCTTCCATCTCTTGGGCCCGTCGTTCAAAGTCCCTTTCGAGTATGAGTGTCTTGAGCTGTTCGTCCTGTTGGGGTGTTCGTTGGGCAATCGATGACAGTTCATTGATTTGTTGTTCACGCCATTGACGTATGTGTTCTCGACGCATTTCAACTTCCTTTTCGCGCTCCTCACGTTCCCAGGGATTTGTGCCCAGCAGGTTTTTGTTTTGTTGCAAAGCCGAAGCGGAAACTGGTACATAACCACCTTTGGGTGGATCCAATGTGCTGGCAATGTAGTTCATGCCTGGTGTTATTTGTTGGGTGGCCTTGTAAAGGGGATGTGTGGTGGTTGGTGGTAGCGGTGGTTTTTCCTCTGCGCTCTGTGGCTGTTGTTGTTGCTGCTGTTGTTGTTGAGAATACAATGTTTGGCCCAAATAAGACTGAGGCGGAAATTGCTGTTGTGTGCCTGATAAACGATTTTGTTGTGGTTTTGGCGCTGTTGGCGGCTGTTGTTGTTTTGGAGGAGTTAACTGTTGCTGTTGCTGCTGACCTGGCTTGGGAGGTAATGTCATGAAGTTGCCTTGTTGCTGTTGTTGTTGCATTTGTGTCATATTCGGTGAATGTTGAGCTCCGCCATCCATGTAGTCAGGCCGCATATTTCTCCGAAGCGTTTGAGCTCCGCCGGCTGGCGAATGTTGTGCCTGCGACAAATAACCACCATTATTTTGATCAAGTGCATCGCCCATGGACGACACATTTTGCATACTTTGACTGGCCGCCATGGACATATTGTGTTGGCCAGGGTGGGACTGTTGCTGTTGTTGATGCTGCTGTTGTTGTTGGTACATATTGCTAATATTGGGCATAGACGGGGCCATCATTTGTTGCATACGAAGGCTTTGCTGTGCTTGCATGTCACGTTGGAAATTCTGAGTGCTCTTCGAACGGTTGCCCAATGTCATGCTTTGTTGTTGCTGTTGTTCACGATACAGTTGTTGCTGCTGGGCCGTCATATGATGCATGGGATGTTGTGAATGTTGTTGTTGTTGCTGCTGCTGTGTTTGATGTTGCATAGTTGACAAGTTGGTGGTACTAGCACTGAAGTTGTGGCCATGCTGGGCAAATTGTTGCTGTTGCGACAAATGTTGATGTTGTGATGGCTGTTGTTGCTGCTGCTGATAGTAAGCCGATTGCGGACGACTGGGTAGCATATTAGATGTATGTGGAGATGTTATCATGGGATGTTGAGAATTTGGATGCTGTTGTTGTTGCTGCTGTTGGTAGGGATGGTTTGGATGTTGATTTCCAGTTGGGCCCGTACCATTTGTTGGCGAGAGTATTGGATTTTGTGTGTTTTGTTGGGAATTTCCATTGTATGCGTTCATTGCGGAATGTGATGGCATGGGGGGTCTGCAAAAAAAAGGAGATGTTACGAAAGTTGTTGAATTAATAAAAATGATAACAAAATTAGGTTTTCACAATTAATTATTAGTTAAATATATAATATTACATTTAATAATTGAAGCTCTAAGAATAAAGGTTTGGAACCTTTCAAAAAACACCCCCCAACTAATTAGATAGGCACTCTATATTTAAGATGTTTTCAATATCTAAAAGAGGATTTTTGTTACTTCTATTTTTCGCGAATCATATGAGATAAAAATATGGAAAATTTAGACCCTTTATGGGGGAGATACCAGAAGGAGTTGGGCTGAAATCTATCTTCACGCCAGACCGTGAAAACTTACTTAAAGTTTTGCCCTTTGTGGGGGAGAACAAGGAGGAATGGACTGATATATCCAATCTTCACACCTGATTATGTGTTGATGGAAATATTGGGATGTGTGAAATTTGAAAAGAATCGGACGCACATTTCGAGTTTTATGAGTGGGTTGTTTATTGAAAAAGTTGACCCTTTGTGGGGGAGGTACCAACAGGGATGGACTGATATGTACTACCTTCTCATCAGATCTTTTGTTGCCAAAAATTATGAGATATGTGAAGTTTGAAAGGAATCGGACGCTTTTTTCATAGTTTATGAGCATTTTGGTTATTCAAACTTTAGACCGTCTGTGGGGAGGTACCACAAGGAGTAGTTTGAAGGGAATCGGATGCTTATTTCATAGTTAATGAGCATTTTGCTTATTTAAAATTTAGACCATTTGTGGGGAGGAGGAGTAGTCCGATATATTCTATCTCCACACCTGACGTAGTACTGGTAAAAATAATAGGATTTGCATAGTTTGAACAACAATTGATGAACCTTCCTGGTTCTTTTTCCTGTGAAAATGTTGGCCTTTTGTGGGGAATGTTCCAGAAGAAGTGGACCAATAGGGTCTAAAACCGTTATTTCGATGAGGCACGTTTTGGCCGTATCAAATGATATATACTCTTCTTAGCCATATGTTTGACGGTATATGAATAGTATAGAAAGGTTAGAAAGTCTAAATTGATTTCCACAAAATTTGACGGAAGAAATTTGTACTTCTCGTACCAAATGACAGTGCTATAGAGTGCATGATATGACTTCGAGAAGTATTATATGAAAAATATATCTTAACTGATCTCGATAAAATTCGATAGAGTTATTTCTGAGCTGTATCTGGTATACCAAATATACCTCATGAACCACTTAACCAATGGCGAAACGAATAGTAGTAAGTGTGTGATAGTAACTCCATGGCCATTTCATTGTCAATCTTAGATTCTTAAGTTCGTCTCGAAAGATGAACGAAGAAATGTCAACAATTTTTGTGAGATGCTGAATTTAAAATATCATACTACGTAGGCGTTTGCACTGATTTTTTGACAATTTCTTCTAAAAAAATTGCAAATTCAAAGATGAGAAAAAAAACTTTTTTGTGTTTTTACTTTTCTTTGAATTTTAATTCTCAAGTTGAATATTCACCAACACTTTAGGTATGGGAAACCATATATCTTCAAATTTTGAATTTGACTATTGAAGGACTCCGGCAAAGATTTTATCATAACAAGACGAATCATATAGTTTTTTTTTTGGAGTATTACGTGGTTTCCTAATAATAGTTCTTAACGTAACCTCACTCACTATCGTTTAGATTATTTTTATTAACAAGAAAAGCAAGTGTCTTTTGTGTTAACAAAATATGTATATTTGTAGTGTTTAAAGTATAGTTTGTGTGCGGTTGTGTAAATAAAAAGAAAACAAATCAATTTTGCACAAAAAAGCAAATTGCAATTTTTTCGTGTTATTAGGCACACTAAATAGACAACAACATTGAGGAGAATAGCGGAAAACAATTTGTATATTTTTTGTTGTTTTGTTTTAGGTTCTACTCACATTGGTCATTTCTAAAACTTGAACTTCTTTTTTAATGGGTATAAAACCATAAAGTAATTTTTTAATACGAAAAGTAATCCTAATCGTTACAATTGATAGAGTGTTGTGTATGTAAGCATTGTACAAAAAAGAAGAAAAAGGAATAGAAAAGAATAAAAAAGATAAACAAGAAATGTGATACCAATTCCAAAAATATATATAATAAATTGTTTTTGTTTTTCAAAATACTCTAAACACTACAAAGATCAATAGCTTCGTGGCTTGAAAAAAATTTAATGGATTTTTTTTTAATTTTGACTTACCTTTCACTCAAAATTGGTTGTGATTGATTTTGGTTTTGATTGCGATAAACGCTCAAATTTTGATAGAAGCCTTGTTCGTTGTTATTATTGGTGTTGTTGTTATTTAAAGTGTTGTTCAAATTTGTTGCAGGATTGGCCAAACTGTGGGTACTGCGTGATTTGGAATTTGCCATGGCTTTAAAAAGGAATAACAAGATTTGAGTATTAAAATTTGGTAAAAACGTTTTGAAATTTCATTGAATAAGATTGAAAAAATATATATATATTTCATATTAACTTAAATATTTATTTATTTGAAAATAAAAATGGCAAACTTACAAATTGTACCACTGCCCATGTGATGATGTAATGCTGGCACCGATTTACTATTGGCTAAATGATTATTTGCTATGAGAGGACCACCAGCATTTTTACCATCCGCACCCATACGTGTTAGATCACGTTCAGACATGCGACGATTACCTGAATATGGAGGTGCATTGTTTGTTTGATTTGATGTGATTTTGAATTTTTTTTGAAGCAGTTGTTATTTTTTTGGTTGGCATTTCGAGTTAATTCGTTTTGGTGGTGGTGGTTAAAGTAAATTTTCATGAAAAATAATGAAAACAAAATATGAGTTAGTTATGTATGTAGTTTTTGTTTTGAGCAGAAATTAGATAATATAATCAAGGAAATGGTGTAGTTATACAAATAAAATTACTTAATAAATACTTGGACAACAAAATAAAGAAAATACAAAAAAAGAATTAGGATATAAGCATGAAATACAAAATAGATAAATGAAAGCCTATGGAATACTTCTGAGGGGCTTTTTAATACAATTACATCAGGGACACCAAATTTCGCCTAAAGGGGGAAAATTACAAAAATTTTTAAATAAGCTTTATTTGGAATGGACCTGAGACTTTTTTCACCGGAAAATCTTGCGCGTTTTTGTTGAGATTGAATTAAAAACCGACCCGACTTTTTGAAAATAATCATATATGAATTAAACTCCCAACTATTCCAACGTTAGCGGAAGCATAGCTGAATGCTACCGGACGCGTCCACGGGTTGGGGATAATGAAACGCCCGATAGATAAATCGGTGAGCTTAAATAAGTAGTCGCGGACAGCTCAGCGGTTTCTGGGGGGAGAGTCTCGGACTAAATACTCGAGTGCCCGTGATCCTTGAACACGACGAGGCGAAGCCATTGGGGCCCCTAATTATCCAGTCGACGGATTGGTCCACCGTATTGCACTCCCTAATGCTAGGGATCCATGGTTTGCAGTCAGGGTACCGACTGTTTCGAACGGCTGCTACGGAGAACTCCCAGACCAGGTGATGCGGTCAACCCTCGGATGCAGGAAGTCATGGTGGGAGGTGATTTGGAGGGTATTTCATCCACTAATAACCCAAACAACTGCGACGAAGCAAAAAGGGGATAAAGCAAGAAGGGCGTACAAGCGGTCAATTAGGTACTGTATGAGGTTCCTCGACCGCAACCCCATACAAATTACGCAACCCCCTACAAATTTGGATGTGTGAAATTTGAATAGAGTTGAAAGCTTATTTCGCTTTCTTTGAACGTTTTGTTTTTCAAAAATCTGAGCCCTATGTGGTGGAGGTACCAGAAGAAATTGACCGATCTGTACAAACTTTATAACAGATCTTGTGTTTATGGTAATATTGAGATGTACCAAGTCTGAATGGAATCGGATGTTAATTTTGCGTTTTATGAGCTTAATGTATATTCAAAATTTTGAGCAGGAGTGAACCGATATATCCCATTTTCACACCAGACCTTGGGTCAATAAAAATATTGTGATGTGTGTAATTTGAAAAGAACCGGATGATTTTATCGGATTTTATGATCGTTTTGGTTAATCAAAACTTTGACCCTTTGTGCGATATTGCCTATCTCCGAACTCTAAGTTTGACAATAATATTACGATGTACCAAGTTTGGATCAAATCGGATACTCGATGAGGCACGTTTGGGCGGTTCAAATGATATATACCCTCTCTAGCAATATGGACGAGGGTATAATGAAAGACTACATTCCCCATAAAATCGATATGTCAATCAGGTCGTCTTTATATAATTAATACAATGGCAAATCTTTACAAAAACATAAATAAAATAACTCAAAATTCCCAACATACCAAAAATACAATACAGCTTGAGAATAATATTATGAAAATAGTTTATCATAAGAATTTTTCAACAATGCTTGAGAAACACTTTTTTGCACAAACTTTTCTCAAATCTGTCCTTTGTTGACAAATTTGTTTTGATTTTTTTTGTGAAAATTGTCAACAAAAAATTATTTTCTTTGGTTAAAATCAAAATCACGCGAATTTAGGACCCATTTCCGGACGAAACTCTAAGGTAATGATGAATAATAAATCTGGGAATCTGTAGTATAAATTATTTCAATCTCATTTCAGAATGGAGGCGTCAAAAAGTTGCAGGAATTCAACAGAAGTGAAGAATAAGTGGAGGAGATACAGAAGCTCAAATAAGGGGAAAGAAAGCATCTAGGTATCAAGGCAACAGGATGCAGTGACAGCTGGGATGGCAATCAATGAATGAAATGTGTAAAATAATTAAAAAATGAATAAATAAATATTTTTTACCATTGAAAAAATAAGCTTTATAAAATATTACTTTCGTAAGCTTATTCTGCAATTACAAGAATAAGCTTATGATTGTTAAACAAACATTTCTCAATACATTCTCAAGATTTTCTCAAGCTTTAGGCTTATGTTTGTAAGCTTATTAAAATATTATTCTCAAGTCAATTTGGTATGTTGGGTTATTATCAAGAACAAATACAAAAATGTTTACACAATTGTAGACAATAGAAAGTGCAAAAATTAAACAAGCTTTTTCACATATAAAAACAAATTTGGAATAATAAATGAATCAAGAAAACACAAACACAACATCGCAGAGTAATCATAAAGGAGCACAGAAAACCAAACACAAAAAAATTTAAAATTTTGGGTGTATTCCCCGAAAAACTTGGCCACAACCTCTTGTCAAAGGATTATCAACTTGTTAGATTAGGAGTTTCATCTTCTTCGTCGTTAACAGAATCCACATCGGATATTTTATCAGCAACATTCTCGTCATCTGCTATACAAAACTCATTCTCATCAACATCATCATTATCATCATTGTCGGCGTCAGCGTCGTCGTTGTTGTCGTGTAATTCATTAAAGCAAGTATTGTGATTTTCAAATTCTTTACAACAATGCGGACAGGTGGTAGAGCATGTACGGAGATTTCCAGATTTTGGTGTTGTTGTTTGGTTTAGTGTAGTTGATGTTTTAATAGGCTGATCATCCTCATCAACACAATCATCCTTCAATGAGGAAGCTAATGACAATAGATTTCTACAACGAGATGAGGATTCATCGTCTTCATCGTTGTGCTGTTCTTCTTGTTGCTGTTTATGCTGATGCTGCTGTTGTTGCTTTCGCTTTAAACTTCGTACACTTTTTGCTTTTGGACAAAGTTTTAAAGTACCACAACGACGAAATGTTGAGCTGGCGTTGCTGGTATCTTTCGTTGGCGAGGCAATGTTGGAAGCATTTGATGAGGATGTTGTTGTTGATGTTTCAAAGTTATATTGGATTGCCAAGCCATCGTTCATTAGTTGATGGCGATGATGGTGATGGTGACAATGATGTTCATCATGTTCATGTTCGAGTTGACGTTGATGACAACAACATGTGCAATTTGTGTTTATACAGGTTTGTGTGCAGTTTCCCACAAAACAACAACATTTAGTAGTTTGAAAACATTGACAATCACAGTTAACATTTAAACGAGTAGAAGTAGTAGTAGAAGTGGTGGTGGAGGTGTTAGTGGAATTGGTGCTTGATAAAGGCTTTAATTTACAGGTTGGAGAATCAGGTGTGTCTTTAATATTGCAATCATGTATAATATTATTATTATTATTTGTATTATTAAGTAAACAGCAATTATTTAAACTAATTCGTTGTTTGGTTTCATTCGATTGTACTGAGGAATTGGAATTGGACAATGGTGATTGATTGGCATTTTTCAGATTAATATCAAAGTCGCGACCTTCTAGGCCAAAAATACTCCATTCTTTTAATTGTTTCAGAATATAGCATTGTTCATTTTGTGTTAGTAAAGGTTTTTTCTTTTGTCCAGACAGTTCACAGGAGTTGGTCTCCAAAAGATCTGAAGTGGATTTTGTCAAACGTTTTTGTTGTGAGCATTTTGAGGATGGGGAACTTTTTGCTGGAGATTCTTTGCGAAATGGTTGCAATTTGAAATCTTTATTTTTGGCAAAGAACTCTGCCATTTCTTTGACTTTTCCCTGGCCATAGGGTTTGCTGAATTCTGCAAACTCTAAATAGTCTCTATCCAAGAGGTTGCCCTGAGATAAAGATTTGGCTTTGGTAGGTTGTTCAGCAGCAGTAGGAGGAGAGTATTTCAGGTTATTTATGGGACTTTCATTGGCAGGGCTGACGGGGGAGGTAGTTTGAATGATTGGTGGGCAATTCTTGGGCTTAAATTTAATATTGGTATTTACATTTTGTGTTGCTTTGGTAGAAGCAGTAGTAGCGTGCAATATGACTTGATCACGATTGAGCAGAAGCTGTTGATGGTTGGCATTATTTATAAACCTTTTTTGTTGTTGCTGCTGTTGGTATTTATGAAACCCATTACGGGCTGGACTGCCCGCACCACTAGACGTCGATCTTATGCTATTCAATTCCCTTTTAGGTTGCATAGATATCTCCCGAAAACGTTGTGTAAGTAGGGGCATTTTCTCGATGGATTCGCTGGATGAACGATTGCTGTTGGAATTACTTCCACTGTCTCCACCAGATGTTGAACGATAGGAATTCAGTTCTCTTCGTATCTTTTGTATTAAAGACACTTTATCTTTTTCCTTTTCCAAAGAGGAATTGGAATCTCTGAGTAAAGATTCTCTTGAAGAGGATTGCTGATGACAAAAATTGCTTATGGCATCGTGGGTGTGGAATTTGCGATTTATGGCTGCCGTAATGTCCGGTTTATTTTCTGTGTCTTCCAAGTCAAAACTAACTGTTTTTCGTTGATTTAACAAATTTGTGGCTGTTGTTTTTTGCCGATTTGAAATAATACTTTTGCTTTGAGTGGCAACTGTTGGCAAGGGGACATAGGGTTTCTCCTCTTCAGTGGGCGAGCCATCATCAATGAATGGTATGTCTTCAGCTCTCGAAACAGAGGCAATACCTTCTTCATTTAACGGTTGATGGACTTCGGTGTAGACAAAGTTGGTAAAAGATTCTTGGGAGTTGGTTTTTGCTGCACTGGATTGTTCTCCCGGTTCCATGTACTCCTCTATATAAATGGATGGAGGTGGCGTATTATTAATATTCATATTACTGGCACTATTTGCACGTTTTCTCAAAGGAGCGGCATATAGTTGTTGTTGCGGTTGCATTTGTGGTTGGTGTTGTTGCTGATGCATCATCATGCCTCCTCCCATAGTATTGGTTAAATTGTGAGTACTCAACGACACTTCTTTACTCATATTATATAGACTGCTAGCGGAACGAGCAATGGGTCTTGTGTCTCTATAACGTGGATCAATGGGAATTTGATAGCCCATTTGACATCGTTCTTCCAGCAGTGATGAAGCACTCAAACGCCTCATGGGAGGTGAGTTTGAGCTAGTGTACATGCCAGCATACGACTCTCGACGACTACGATTTAAACTATCATCAGAAATAGAACCATAATAGCGGCTGGTATTATGACTACTATGGCGCCGCTGTTGTGGATGGGGAAATTGTAATGTTTGCATTGGAGGTGGCATTTCTTCTACATTAGGTCGGTTTGTGTTTATTAATTCGTTTATTTTTTTATTTTTAATTAAAGTTAGTTACACAATTTATTATTAAATGGCAGCATGTGAAAGGGATAGATATGTAAGTTTTTAATTAGAGATTAGTTACCAAGGTAATTCTAGCACTAAAGCTAATGGATATACTCTAAGAGAGGCTAATTTTATAATAGAAATTAAATAGGGTAGATCTATTTTCATTTTTGTTACTTACCCCTTTGGATAACCGGACTGGGTTGTTGTAAAAGCGTTGCTAAACCATGATAAATAGCTCCTTGTTTGGCAACATCCAATGTGACAACGGGTCCAGTACGTACCAAATAATCGGCAGCTCTAAAAAACGTATAATAAAGATATTAATATTTCGTTAAAATTGTTTGAATTTTATTAAGATTACCTTTCTTGGGTAATTCCTATTAGGCTTTGGCCATCTACTCGTAGCAGCTGATCTCCAGCCTGCAGACGGCCATCAGCATCGGCAGCTCCACCGGGAACAACACTCTTTATATAAATACCCAAACGATCTTGCCCTGCACCTTTGGCTGCAACAATCGATAGGCCCATGCCATTGGAGTTTTTATGTAGTTTAATAACTTGTACCTCGGGTTGAGGAAGTTTGTTGGACATGGCGCTTGAGGAACGGGCCTACAAAATCAGACATTTTAATTTGAAATAGAAAAATATAATATTATTGTTTTACTCTTATTTTACTCACATTAAATTGATGCATATACACCGTCCACAGGCCGATGGAGGTGGGTTGCGCAGCCAATCGACACATGGCCTGTTGCTGAAGTGGATTTAAAAAATCCACCAGACCTGAGGGTATACCACGCACCACATCACAGCTAAAACCATCGTCTGGCAATAGCAATGCCAAATGCAATTCTGGCGATTCTTCTAAGCGAACCTCCCGGCCATCGGCTCGTGTCAATTCATCGGCTACAGATTCAGCCATACGTATGGCTGTATCGACCAAATTTCGTGGAATTTTCTCTTGTTGTAATAAAGCGGCCATTTGCAAAGAATTCAAACGGAAACAAGAGCAGGCCAATTGTTGGATTTCCTCTACAGAGGTTTTGGGGGCTTGTAGGAATTGGGCACACTGATTGATTTTGGCCAAATGACAATCGGCAGCCAATTCTAAGCCCTGACGTTCAGCCCACAATTCAAGTAGCTGCAAACGTTCGGTCATCACCTTGCCCCATTCGCCAGTGCACATATGGGAATTGGCCACAATCTATAAGAACAATAAATAGGGGTTAAACATAATTTTGAACTACGAATTGAGTGAAAATCAAAAACATAAATTGAAAAATAAAAAAAAAAAAACACAAACTTTTCCGTTTTTCTTCGTTTGCTCACCGTATTGAAACATATCACATTGATGTAATGAAACAGTTGCGAAAACAATTGTATTGTCAGGGCAGCATTTACACGGCATCTTCTCAGCAGAGCCATGGCAGAACCTAAAACGGTCAATACCAAACCGGCTGCCGAGTCATGATCTATTGTCTCCGATAGAAATTGATTTAGGGTCTGCGATAGCTCAACTCTAAAACAGTTTACCAAATTACGAAACGCTGTCTGTACACTTTCGGCCAGCACTTCTTGTGCTTGGACCGAAAATGCACTTATGTGACGATCCGATTTGAGAAAATGCAAGAATTCCGAGGAGTTTGCCATCCAAAAGGCGAGTATACGTGGATCGGTGTATTGCTCTTGTACAACGTTGTATATAAGATTGGCGACATGATGTAAAAATATTGTTAATTTATGGGCACGTTCTGTCGGCTGGAGCTCTGGACGGTAGTGTGTTGAAGCACGATATCTGGAAAAATGGAGTTATTATATAAAAATTCTTTACATATTTTAAGAGGTCTTATTCGAATGTATATCGCTTTAAAAGTCAGTTTTCAACTTTCAGGTTGTTGAGGGAAGTTTTTCCTTTTGGAAGTCATTGGGGGTTTCTTTCCCCATAAACGTTGTTAGTAGAAAAGCTTACACCAATTACGGCATATCAAATTGCCACATTCATATAAATATCATTCGTAACACATAAAATAAATATAAACTAGGCAAATGCAGTCAAGCTGAGAAAATTGAGCTCCTTCGACTTCAAACTTTTTAAAAGGGTCTGAATAATAATTTCATATTTAATCCAATAATTTTCCGAATCCACAAGGGTTAGGTAATAAAAATTATTAATTCAAACAAAATAAATTATGAATTTATATAAACTCAGGTTGAGAAAAGTTTGTAAAATCAATATATATACAGGGTGAGATAAAAAAAACTGCAACAAAGTCAAACGCCATAACCATTTTTGCGTGGCTCGTGCTGAGTGCTATGGTGCTGAGTTTTGTTGGGCTTTAATACAGCCTCCAGAATATTTTCGCGATAATAATCGGTATTTAGCGGAGAGCGACCATCGGCTGTTATGGCGGCCCACACCATCACCATGGTCGGCGCTTGAGTTCTGGTGGCCATCCGAAGGTGCACATTTTCTGCTGACCTCTTTGGCAAGTAAACATGATCAATTTGTTTGCTGGACAACTAATATTTTCTCTTCGGAGAAAACCAAATTCGGCAGTTTACCACTTTCGGCCAAGCGAAGCAACTCGTTAGATCTTTTGAGTCTATTTTCTTCCTGTTGCGGTGTAAGTTCTTGCACTTTTTGGAATTTAAATGGCTTTACCCTGAGCTCATTTTTCAATATTTGTCGAATGAAATATTGCGATATGTTCAGCTCACAAGCCACAAAAGACACAAAAGATTTATTCACTTTTAAATGCTGGAGTGATCTAACGATAGCTACTTGTAGTTTTCCAGCCAAATATAAAGAAATCACACTATCGCGCTTGAATTCCATCACGAATAACTTTTTTTTCTGGAAAATTCTCACCAAAATGCTTTTGTACGATTGTAAACAATATAATGAGCTGTCACTGGAATAAGTTGACGAGTGGCTTAAAAATTACAGCAGTCTGAAGTTGGTTGCAGTTTTTTTATCTCACACGTATATGGCCTTTTAGGCCCTCTATTAAAAAGTTGATTGGTGTTAAATAAATAAATGGGGTCAATGGTTGAATTTCCTCTACAGAAGTTTAGGAGGCTAGTAGCAAGACCGTTTCCATTGTGGAATCTAAAGACTTAAATATTTGCTTGCAAGCTCTCCTAAAGTTAAAGTCGAAAGGGCCTTATAAAATTGAAAATTGTTAACAAACCTGGCACATAAATACAAAGAATAAACGGGTGCTAATTTGAAATGCGGGGCATTAACATCCAATTCGGTAATGATGTGTCTTAGAAAAAGCTCCTGATGTGTTTCAGGAAATTCTAGGACGGCCGGTAATATTGGCTCCTGGCCTTGGGGCTCAATGTGGGCAGCAGCTGATGTTGATGACAAAGGCATTTTGGGAGATCTGTAAAAAGAACAATAAAAAATTTATTCAAAAATAATAAAAATAATATGTAAAAGCTTTAAATATAGAAAAATATTGAGTTTTGTTTTTAGCAGACAACACAAATTATGATTTAGCGATTACTTGTAAGAAAACAAAATTATTGAACACACTTAAAAATGAAAATTATTTTTAAAATGGTTTGGCGGCTGGCAAACAACAACTGATGAGTTGATAATGAAAATGAAAAAAAAAAATTAGAGCAAACTTTCGTTTTTAATTACAAAGTGTTTAAATTGCTTGAAAACAAAATATACGACTTTAGAATTGTGTGTTTTCTGTATCAAGGAGTCAAGTAAAAGCTGTAAAAATTCATTGAGAAAAATAGTCATTAAAAGGATTTCTTATGAGTAATCTATTCAAAAACATGAACTTACCTTTCTTGACTATTGGAACCACCGGATTTTAAACTGGATATTGATTTTGTTTCATTTTCCAGATTACCTTCTAAACTTTGGGTGTCACCTCCGCCACCACCTCCACCCCCGGAAAAATTTCCATTGCCACTGGGATTTGTATTATCCGAACTACCATTGGCGGATGTTCGTAGTTTGCCATCAATCTCTGTGTGATCGCCATTGCCGCCTCCGGCATTGGGATTATGTGCATCATAATCACTTTTGTGAGTCTAAATTTGTGGAAATAAAAGTAATTATTTAAGGTTATAAAAAACTCGTGAACAAAAGTTTTCTTACCGAACTTAAAGCTCCATCCTCATCATTCCACGATCCTGGTGATGCTGGTGACCGGCTGTTGGGGGGATTGATTTCCATGTGTTGTAGGTTTTTTTTGTTTTGTTTTACAAAAATTTTAATTTCCGTCCAAATGTCGTTATGTGTATTGGTGTATGTTTATAGTGTGGTGTGGTGTGTGTGTGTGTGTGTGAGGGTGTGCGGATGTAAACGTGAGTGAGTGTCCATGGCATATGTATCGATATGTTCATGTAATGATTGTTTTTATGATTGATGTTGTTTCGTGTAGTTTTCGGTATAAATAATGCAATGGAATCGAATCGTTGGTGCAGTTGATTTTTTTTTTTTTTGATTTAATGGAAAATTAACAACAACAACATGGTGTAAAATAAAAACAATAACAAACGTGAGTTTCCACAGATGAAACATATAAAATGAAAAAAAAAGTAAAAAGAAAACATAAAATAAATTTGTAAACAAAAACATATGAGAAATTAATTAGGGCAAAGGGGTAAAATATAAAATTTGGAAAAAATGCTTTTGAATTGAAAATTGTAGATTTTCAGAAATGATAAATTGATAAAGAAACTATGAAAATTCTTAAGTTTTTCGACCTCCGAGGTAGTCTAAAGAAGAATATTTTCTCTATCAACCATGAGAAAAAGACATTCAGAAAATTTTCTGATTCAATGGAAAAGAAGCAACGCTCTGGTATTTCAGAAACACTTTTATTAAATTTAGTTGGTAGTAAGCGTAGCTCAAAATGTCCATATTCTAGGGATTTAAATTTTTGTCCCTGCTCTACCTTAGAGTTGTTGAAAGGAATTGCTGACTTGTTTCGCAAGTTATGACAGATATACGTTTTGAAAATTGTGACTCTTTGTGGGTTGGGTACTAGAAGAGGTTCGCAGGTATATATGAGTTGGATCTTGCTTTGATAGAAATACTGAGATGTACCAAGTCTGAATGGAATCATATGTGAATTTCTCGTTTTATGAGCTTTATTGATACTCAACATTTTCACTCAAAAACATTTTTATGGGGGAGGTACCAGAAGGAGTGCACCGATATTTCCCATCTTCTCACAAGACCTTGGTTGATAAATATATTGTGATGTGTGTAATTTGAAGAGAACCGGATGCTTATTTCGGATTTTTGATCGTTGGGGTTTTTCAAAACTTTGATCCTCTTGGGGGAGGTACCAGAAGGAATGGTCCGATCTCTAACATCTTAATAACAGATCTTGTGTTGATAGAAATATTGAGATGTGCCAAGTTCAAATGGAATCGGATGTTAAATTCGTGTTTTATGAGCTTCATGGATGCTCAAAATGTTGACCCTTTATGGGGTAGGCACCAGAAGGAATGGTCCGATCTCTACCATCTTTATAACAGATCTTGTGTTGATGGATATATTGAGATGTTAAATTCCTGTTTTATAAGGAGTGGACCGGTGTATTCCATCTTTACACTACACCTTGGCTTAAAAAAATATTGTGATGTGTCTAATTTAAAGACAATCGGTAACTTACATCACATTTAATAAGTTATAATTATTAAAAATGTTGACCCTTTGAGGGAGGTACTGGATGGAGTTTACCAATATTGTCAATTTTCGCACTTGACCTAGCACTCATGGAAATATTAGGATTTGCAAAGTTGGCAAAATCGGATTATTCTTTCTCTTTCTGTGCAGTAAATTATCTTCTTTGAAAATGTTGATATATTGTTGGGGAGGTACCAGAAGGAGTGGAGCGATATTGCTCATGTCCGAACTCGATCTAAGTTTTACAAAAATATTACTGTGTATCAATTTTGGATCAAATTAGATACTACCTTTAAGAGTTATCGTGTGCACCAGCCGAACGGATGGACGGACATAGCTAGATCGACTGCAAATATCCAGAAACGGCTTTGGCCCAAAGAGACCTATGGTCTAAAACCGTTATTTCAATGAGGCACGTTTTGGTCGTATCAAATAATGTATATCCTTCCTCTCTAGCCACATGGCTAAGGGTGTAAAAAAAGGGTTTTGGCGCAGAAAAACGAATTGTGAATTATTGTGCAATGCATATGATCTAGTTAATTGGTAAGATAGTAATATTGAATACTGTAGCGTCAGTGAAAATTAGGAGGCATTTCAGATTTTTGTGTCGAAGAATAAATATGTAGCTTGTCGGTTATGTGATTGTATTTGTTTTTTTTTTATCTCATTAGCCTAAGTATAAAAATGAGAAGCCTTTAACGGCAATGGAGACTGGTAGATAATGTTTTTTTTGCAAATAAATCCTTTCTGCCGAAGCCAGTTCGACGTATTTTCCTATTACTACTTCTCACTACAACCACTACAACCATATTACTTTTTCCTCTTTCTTTCCAAACATAAACAATTTTTGCTCCCATTTTGAATATTCTTAACATTTTTTTTTTTTAATTTCAAAAGCATTTTTTCCACATTTTTATGACTTTTAATAAATCAACATAAAAGTTATAATTACAACAATAAACAATTGTTTATAACAAAACACAACATAAATATGAATATTGAAAAAACAAAACAAAATAAACAAACATTAAACAGCAAACAAGCAGCATACAACAACACTTGTTAATGATTATGATTTTCAAGTGAAAAAAAAGAAAACATTTATATTTGGGTTTTGTTACATTTTACAACATTTACACACACAATTACACATATTGTTGAAGAGCGCATAAGGCACAATTTGTTGTTGGTAGACTGTAGAATGCAAACTAAAACTTACCTTTCATAGAGACAGGCCGAATCCAATTGCGACTGTGACAAGGCCAAATTGTAGCGGCCATCAGTGGGTGAGTCCACAAAACGATATGAGGCCACGCGACCAAACATTACCACGGAACCGTTCTGAAAAACAAAAAACGAGAGTTATAACACACGAATTTAAAAACAAAACTTTTTTTCTTCAAATATTATTAAAATTGATGGATTTTTTTGCACAGCCTAATGAAAATTAATTTCCATATTTGCAGAATATTAAATTAGGGGAAGCTTTGTGACACCCCCACCCGTGGTGGGATATGCAAGTATTTAATAAAAAAAAACAACAACGAGGCAACAAATTGCTCATTACCGTTGATACACACACGACGTCTAATATGAACTAATTTTAAAATTCGACTAAAAAACAAGGGGCGTTTGCTGTTCGAAACGCCTTTGTTACACAAACCAAACCAAACCAAACGACACAGATCAGATCATATGTGTGTTTCAGTTTTTTTACGAACTTTTCTGTTGTTGTTTCATTTTGGGAGAGCGGCAAGAAGTACAACAAAATAATTTCGACGCACAGTCGTTGGACAGACAATTCTGATCAAGCCCATCATGCCGCCGCCGGATGGATATTGTTGTCGAGGGGCGGTACGATAAATCGTTGTTGTCTTTGGTGTGGAGGGAGGGAGGAAGAAATTTGACCCTTCAACAAGAACGTGCTGTTAATTTACATTCCATTAATGGGTCATTAGTCAGGGTAATCATTCGAAATTGTAACCCATAGAAATGTCATGGGTTGTGGTCTCCTTTTGCATGATAATTGTGGGGGACATTTGAAATTAATTACATTTAGCACTTTCACTTACATCTGGTTGGAGGAATGTGACATGAGATAAAGGGGGAAATTAAATCACATTGTCCACGTAATTCAATCAGTTTTGTTGTTTCACTTTTCGATTTTGGAAGTCAACTGGGGACAAATGGGCGATAAGAAAAACTGAAGTTGATTGTATTTTCCAGAAGGTTTCCTTCTAACAAAGCCCAAATTAAATTAGACATTTAAGGTTCCCGAATAATTTTTTATAAGCTAACGTTTAAGGAATCCGTTAACAATTTGGTGGTATGTGGTTACAGATTAGAAAATGCATTTAACAAAACCCTATTTTTAAATGATTTTTTTTGGGGAAAAGTCTTATATAGTTTTTTCGTCTAATTTGAGATGAGGTATCTAAAATATTATATTTTGTAAAAAACAATCCCGATCCTGGCTTAAGAATGATATTTTATGGGTCCAGGCTGAAAAACTGGCTGCCTTAGTAAAGTAACCACACTTCAAAGGATTTTAAATTCAACCAATTTTGTCTACAACTTAAGTTTTCCTCCGGTGGATTATATAAAAAATTTGGTATTTTTAACCTAAAGGCATTTTTACTTGCTTCCATATCATTTGAGTTCTCCTGAAAGTGGAATGTATACAAATTTTAGGCCTGCTGACAATGTGCAAACAAGCTTCTTGGCATAAATAATATTATCTACGTATAGATGGCGTTAGCTACAAAAAAAAATCATATATATCCCCCTTATAACCCCCTACATATAGCGGTATACGAAATTCAAGTAATAAATAAAAATAAAAAGTAAAATAGTATCAGTCGGTTTTGCCGACAAATGAATACCTTGAGTTATGATTATTCAAAGTGTTGACCCTTTATGGGGGAGATTCCAAAGCAGTTGGCCCATTCGTATCTGACTTAAGACTGATATAAAAATTAAAACTTGCTAGGTTTGGACTGTATCGACTTCTTCCTATAATTTATGTGAGATATGTGCACATTTTTGGAAAATGTGAAAATATGGGTGTTACCAGATATTCCATTCCATTAAAATACTTCGATGGGTGAAATTTGAAGAGAGTTGGATGCTTATTTCGCTTTCTTTTGGGGTTTTGTTTTTCAAAGTCGTGAACCCTATTTGGGGGAGGTACCAGAAGGAGTGGACCCATATATCCCATTTTCACACCGGACCTTGGGTTAATAAAAATATTGTGATGTGTGTAATTAGAAGTGAACTGAATGCTTATTTCGGATTTTATGATCGTTTTGGTTATTTAAAACGTTGACCCTTTGTGGGGGAGGTACAAGACGGAATGGTCCGATCTCTGCCATCTTTATAACAGATTTTGTGCTCATGCAAAGATAGAGCAAAATCGGATTATCCTTTCTCTTCTGTGCACTAAATTACTTTCTCTGAAAATGTTGACATTTTGTGGGGGAGGTACAAGAAGGTGTGGACAATATGGCTGAGGGTATAAAAAATACCGTTTAAATGAAAGCCGCTATACGGGGGCTATACAAAGAAGTGGACCTGCATAAGTAATTTTAATTTTAGTACTCTAATTTTTTTTAATATCTTTTTAGATCTTCACGTAGATCTTTTAAGGTTTCAATTTGAGTATTTCTCAAAAGAGATTTTTTTAAGTTAATAATTCTTTCAAAATCAAATCCATGTGAGTATGATTGATATTTATCCTTTTGTTTTAATTTTTAATTTTTTTAATTTTTAGTTTTAATTAAAAATTAATACCAACCAAACTTATCACACCGCCACTCTCTCTTTTCTCTTGAAAAATAAAAACAAAACTTATGTAGATGGCAATGACGATGCTGATCTCTCTCAGCTGCTGGCCGGCAAATGCAAAATAACATTTGATTTTGAATTTTGGATTCGTTAATTGAATAGAAGATCCCATTGGGCTATTGGCGATGGGTGAAAGAAAAAAAAAACACTCTAAAATGCTCATCAATGTTTGGTGATGCTATGATGCTGGCCATTGCCAGTCTGGAGCCCTCACCACCATCAATCCATCCACTGGTGTAGAATTTTAAATAAAATGCCACCCCTCGATTAAGTCAAATTTAAAGCTTTTGTTTTTTTTTTATTTTGGAATTTCTTTTGTGCGTTTTTCCTATTGATGTTGTTTTTTTTTTGAATATCCAATTAAATTGTTTTAAATGTATTTTAATTTGTTGTGTTTTTTTTGTATTGTTTGTTAGTCTATGAGTCATAGATATTTGCATTATTAAATTTATTTTAATTTAATTCAAATTGGGGGGATTGATTAAAAGAAAATCAGTAAAAAATATGAAAAACATTGAACAACATCTCTCTCTCTCTCTGTAATGGAGTGTAATATAAGGGAATACTCCAGGTTTAAGAGAGATAAAAATAATTTAAAAAACGTTGTAAATGTATCCAATACCAATGTAGAATTAACATAAGAAACAAAAACATTGAAACTGCTTACTTTGGTTCTTATTTTTCAGAACTCCAATTGCTTTTAAATATTTCTTGTCTAAATCAATAACAACAAGCCGTTCATTGAGAATGGGGAGAGTGTACCTTACCACTACCAATTTATATATTGTGAGCACCTCTTTTCTAACTACATTTATATGACGGTGTTGGATTCTATTTGGGGAAACTTCAAAGCGGTTATGGCGGCATACATCTCTTCGCGGTTTCGAGAGCTTTTCAAAATTTTCGATTTATGACAAAATAATTATTAAAAATGTCTATTTTCGATATATTGAAACGATCAAAATATATATTTTCCAAGTGTATATATATATATATTTTTTTTAATTTTCCTAAGTGTATCCATTATGACACAGATATTCCAAAATTGGATCAAACATATTTGATTTATTTTGATGGCTAAATTGAGTTTGCAATTTTTTCTTAGCTATTGTTTTTGTAAAGATCAATGAACCGTAAAGCGAAAATTTATGGGAAAAAACAACAACAACAAATAACGATTTTCAATGCAAAGCATTTTGGATAGAAAAAACGTCATGTCAACCAAACTGTTTTTGATGAGCCATGTGAATTATATGTGAAACTTGTCTAACTATGGGAGGGAGAATTATTGAAACGGAAATTATGGGAAAAACTAATTTCTTTTATAATAGGCAAATGACAACAACACGTATTGGGGATAAATGAATTCCGCATATTGTACTTATATAGCGTGGGAGAACGAACAAGCACAGCACACCTTTTTGCTGAATTGGAAAATAGATGATTGTGGTTTATAGTTTATTTGGGGTTTATAAAAAATAACTTTACAGAATCAAAAAAGTATTGAAAAGATTCTGTTGGATCTGTAAACAAAACCTGATTCCGAAGGCTCCAGACTTGCTACATCGTAATATTCTTGTCAAACTTACATCGAGTTCGGAGATATGCAATATCGGCCCACTCTTTCTGGTACCTCCCCCCACAAAATGTCAACATTTTCAAAGAAAATAATTTACTGCACAGAGAGAAAGGATAATCCGATTTAGTCCAACTTTGGAAATCCTAATATTTGAATCAGTGTGGGTTAGGTTCGAAGTTCTGTTAGGTTCTCGTACCTCCGTCACATCCGATTCCATTCACACTTGGTACATCTCAATATTTCCATCAACACAAGATCTGTCATAAAGATGGTAGAGATCGGACCATTCCTTCTGGTACCTTCCCCACAGTGTCAAAGTTTTGAATAAACAAAACGATCATAAAATCCGAAATAAACATCCGGTTCTCTTCAAATTACACACATCACAATATTTTTATTAACCCAAGGTCTGATGTGAAGATGATCTATCCCTTCTGGTACCTCCCCCAAAAAGGGTCAAAATTTTGAACGTTCCACTTTTAGGTATAGTACCTATACAAGGGTATAATACCCCTATTTCAGTTTTTTTGTTTTAGTCATGTTCTCCATTTAACTTCGCCAAATGTTGACATTTTGAGCTTTTTCTATGAAGAGGATCTACTAGCAAAACAAGATCAATACGGGTTCACGTTTTGACACAGCCTTTATAAAAGGAAATTCCCTGTTAATAGCTATTGCGAGGGTTTTGGCCATATTTTTTATAGCCATATTTGAAAAAAGACTACAAAGACCCTCTTGGTTACGCGTTAGATTATATGTATAGAAAGCCACTTGAATGAGGAATAACTGGTATCCTGTGTATGGAAGATAAATCGGTAGCATCTCGTATAAGGCCGCTCAAGTATTCTTCAATATATTGAAGATCATTTTAGTACATTTTTATAAAAAAGACAAATTAAGTGGCCTTAAATAGCTAGAAGACTACCCAATTGGTCAGCTATAAATAGAAGACCACTCCCTCTAATAATAGACCACTTTCTTTAGTAGTAGACCACTCCTGTGGCCCCTTAAATCGTCAGTTATTTAGAGTAAACCACTTGAATTATATTTTATCAGCAGAAATCCACTTCAGCAGTATTATTTGTATTAAGGGTCATTTGAGTAGTCTCCTATCTGCCGATGACCAAAAACCACAAACGTTTAAATATGCTATCCGAGGATCTTGCGCTTTCAGAAAGAGGTTTCCCCTCCAAAAATATCTAATTAATTGGAACCATTCATGCGTGTTTTCCCATCATTTCCACTTAAATCATACCCCCGGAGAAAATAATACAAATTGTTACACATTAATGTACTACTATTTGTTAATGTCCATGAACTTGGACGTGGACAGGAGTACTAAAACTTTGCGTGCCACATAACACTTAAATGTCAGTACAATTAAACATCCTACACTAAAATCGTTTCAAACAATGCGTGATCACACATCCATTTTCGGCGGAAGGAAAAAAGATAATTTGAATTAATTACGGAAAAATACCAAAAAGTTCAAGTGACATATTTGAATAACAGAATTTCCATGAATTCAGGAAAAGTACTCATCAAAGCCTAAAAGTATGCATCACACATGAATTGTCTGTGTGTGTTCCATTTAGGAAAGGAATATTTGTTTGTCCTTTGACATCCTTGGTACTTGCTTCTCCACCATGAATTCCCAATATAAATTTACTTAAATCTCAGTTGCTAAATTAAATAAATATACACATTTGGTCCCCTCTCTTCCAACACACACTTTATGCTCGTTTTATAGCTCTTACGTTGTGAAAGTGCCAAAGTTTATGCAATATTTGTCAAATGATGTAAAGCTTTTAACGTTTATATAAAATTAATGTTCACACGCAGCACTCACGCATGCATAGCAACACACACAGAGACACACCAGCACCCTCATCCGCACATGGCGAGGATTTTCCCAAAACCACATAACACACCACAGAAATTTCACAGGTATGCAGTAGTATCACAGCTTTTCACTTATCACTTAATCCCGTTCTCTTGCCGATGTCATTCACACTCTGGCTGATGACACCCGTCCGCCCCAACCATTAAGCATGCTCCCACCCAGATAATATCCATAATTCACTTTACTTTTTCTCGACACAACAAACAAACACATAAGGGAATTTTTAAGAGGTGAGATTTTTCGTTTCGAGTGACTGTTGATATTTACTCACATGTAATATTGTCGGCTGTGATATGTGATGTCCATTCACAAATGTCAAAGCATCGGCGTGTAGTGGTGTTACAGTACAGACTCCCTCCACCAATGATATGAGACAGTGACGTGCCTGAATTGAGGGGCCGAATAGCTGCAGGCAATTTGTATTGGCTGAACCGACCTGTAGGAAAAGGAGAAAGACAAGAAAAAGAAAAATAATTAAAATTTGATTTCAACTAGAAGAAGTCGTCAGAAAATCGTAAAATATACATAATTAACAAAATTTAAAAATTCATTGAAATCCTCTATTCGATAAGATAACAGTGGCATTTACGGAATTTGTAACGGTCGTCTATACATACACTTAAAGTTTTCTCTACAGACACCTTAACAGTCGTCTATTCAGATGCCTTAACAGTCGTCTAAACAGACGCCTGACATACGTTCAACAAATGCTTTTACAGACACCTTAAAAGTTCCTAACAGACTCTTAACAGTCTCTGAACATATGCCTTAACATTCGTCTATACAAATACCTTAAAGGTCATCAATGCAGACTCCTTAACCGTCGCCTAATATATTCTTAGCAGGTGTCTTTACAAATGCTGTAATCATCGTCTAAAGATACACCAGTATAGTCGCCAAACAGATCCTTAACAGACGCCCAACAGATGATTAACGGTCGCCTAACAACTTTTTAACAGTTGTCTATACAATTGCCGTAAAGGTCGTCTATAGAGACGCGTTAATAGTCGCCTTAAAGACCCATAACAGTCGCCTAACAGATGCCTTAACAGTAGTCTGACAGAAATTTTAAAAGTTGCCTGACAAACCATTTACAGTCACCCTGCAAATGCCCTAACATTTCTCTATACAATACCATAAAGGTCGTTTATACAGACAACTTAACAGTTCTGTATAGATACGTATGGCAGCGTCTTAAAAGTCGCCTTACATACCCTTAACTGATGCTTTAACAGACGTCTAGATGCCTTAACAGTCGTTTAGATACCTTACCAGTCGTCTATACAAATGTCTTAAAGGTCGCCTAACAAACTCTTAACAATTGTCTATACAACTGCCGTAAATTTTGTCTATAGAGACGCTTTAAAATTCGCCTTACAGACCCTTAACAGTCGCCTAACAGATGTCTCAACACTCGTCTAGCAAAAACCTTAAAAACTTGTAAACAGACCGTTTACAGTCGCCCAGCAGATTTTTTAACATTCCTCTATACAATGCCATAAAGGTCGTTTATACAGCGTCTTAAAAGTCGGCTTGCAGACCCTTAACAGTCGCCTAACATATGCCTTAGTAGCCGCATAACAGACGCCTTAACAGTCGTCTATACAAATGCTGTAAAGATCGTACAGACGCCTTAACAGTCGCCAAACAGAGACCTTAACAGTTGTCTATTCAAATAGCGTAAAGGTCGTCTGTAGAGACGCCATAACAGTCGCCTAACAGACCCTTTTTAGTCTGCTAACAGACTATTTTACAGTCGTCTTAACAGTTGCCTATACAAAAGGATGTCCATACAAATACCGTAAAGGTCGTCTAGAGAAATACTGTAATGGCGTCTGACAGACCCTTAACAGCCGCCTAACAGCCGCCTAACAGACCCTCAACAGTCGTCTATACATTGAAGTATAGGTCGTCTATATAGACGACTTTAACACTCATCAGGCACCTAAATAGAAGCCTAACAGACGCCAATAGTCTGTACCGAGAACTAGGAAGATACTGTAACGGTCGTCTAGGAATATTTTTTGAAATCGTCCATACTAGTACCTTAACATTAGTACAGGCTCCTTAACAGTCATTTGCTCTGGCGCCTTAGCAGCAGCTTATAAAGTCGCCTTAACATCCATACATAACAATTGCCTCCTTAACAGTAGAAAAATGTAACAGTCGTATGCAACTTCCTTTCATGTGACCTGTATTAATTCTCTTCTTATTGTCCTACAAGTCCACTTTAGAATTCGTCTATACTAGTGTCTTAACATCAGTACAGGCTCCTTAACAGTCATTTGCTCTGGCGCCTTAGCAGCAACTTATAAAGTCGCCTTAACATCCAAACTTAACAGTTATCTTCTTAACAGTAGAAAAATGTCGTAACAGTCGTTTGCAACTTCCTTTCATGTGACCTGTATTATTTCTCTTCTTATTGCCCTACAAGTTCACTTTAAGCTTTTTCGTACTTACCTCAATGGGATCACTTCCCAGCTTAATACGTCGACCTCCATCTCCGCTGTGGGTAACTTCCACAAGCATTGGTCCCTCACGATCTTGCGATATATTATTGGCGCCATTGGCAGCACCCAAGGGTTTCTTCTTACGTCTTCGTGGCTGGGAATCTGCCGGACGTCTTCTTACATGGAACATTATGGAACCTGGAAGGAAAAATAAAAAAAAAAAAACGAAAATTAATGAAAAACACTTTTCAAAACTAATTTCCAAATTCAATTCAATTACGTGTCAAATTCATGTTTTCAATTAATTTTGGGGCATTGCAAAATTTCAAGAAATCTTCAATTCTCCCGTTGTGCGTAATCTCACTGCTGGCACGAAACCGAAAACCGAGAAGTCTTTACAAATTGAGCTTTTCCATTCGACTAATAATTCTAAGTGCATTTTTTGTCTTTGGGGAGAAAAAAATCTATCGAATGAACACACAATGCAAAAAAAAAAAAAAAAAAAACAAAAAGAACAACAATAACTGGCAAAATAACAGCAGCAGCAACTACAACAACAACAATTGACAAGCATCAAAAATATCTTCAGAAGTTTAGCTTATTTTAATGGGAATTTTGTACAAAAAACAAAAGTGGAAGTGGAAAAAAATTGAATCACATCCAATTGAAATGTTTTGGGGATAAGTTGGAGAAGACAGCCGTGAATGATAATCTCTAGAGGGTAAGTAGGTGCTGTTCAAATTAGGCTGGTGAAGAGCGGGAGTCATACGAGTACATTTAGGGGCTGAATGTTGATATGGGGTAGCCATTTGTAATATTATAATTTGTATCCATGAAACTAGCTCGGCTAATCTTTAATTAAAAATTATAAAAAGGCCTCTTAAAGCAGTACCCTGTATACCTTACCAATCGCCATACAATACTCCTTACCGGTTTCAAAATCTTCCTCCAAAATATCAGAAAATTCATTGTTTTTTTTTTCAATAAAAGAGTCCAAATAGTACTCAGTAAATGCTTCTTAATATTTATCTAAAATACAACTTAAAAGTCGCCCAAATTCATCTAACAGTGCTCTGAAAGATATTATTAATAGACGTCTATATAACTTCAGAACAGAGTTTATAAATGACTTTCTTATGGCTGTCTTCTAAATAACCCCCAAATGATTTTCTTTTGCTCTTAACATTTATTTAAGAATTAGGGTTTACAACCGCCTAAAGACACTTTTAAAACCATTTTTGTCCTCCAGCAAAAGTTCTTCTACAACGCTCTTAAAACTGCTTTTATAGTCCCCCAAAATATACCGCCAATAAGCACCTACAAAGACCCTTGACTACCCTCTATACAAACACCCTTACCAAAGTTTGTATGTAAATAAAAACCTTCAGCCTTGTCTGTCAATCCCCTCCCGGCTGCCTCTTCAATTCATTCCAATGTCATCCATAAAACAATGGTAATGTGTCGCATCATCAATTTTAAGTTTTATTTTTATTGAAGGTTATGTTCTACTGGACTGAAATAAAAATAAAAATGCAGTTAAATCTGAACGCGCTCACACACATACTAACTAAACAATAAAAAAACCTAAATCCGTACTAATCTCGGCAAAAATCCATTGAAACACAAAAACCCATTCGACAACATCTCTCTCAACAATAATGGCTTTTAGAACTACAATAAAAAAAATAAGAGGCGTTAGGTCGGAATGTTATGGATTTAAATTGCCCATAATATACTAGTATTAAATACAGATTTATTTGCTAACGCCACAAAAACAGAAATATTTCAAAAGTATATTGGGGTGGAGCGAAGAAAAAAAATTAAAATATGAATTTTATTGGGAGTGGACCACAGAAGACCATTGGTTAGGAGTTTACACCACAGCATTGTATTTAGACTATTGGCAAAGACTATATATACAGGGTGAGATAAAAAAACTGCAACAAAGTCAAACTTCATCATTTTTACATTTTTTTAAATTTTATTGAATGAAAGCAAAAAATGTCGGAAATAGCATCAAATTTTAGAATAAGTTTAGATTTGTTCGAATTGGTCATCTTTGGTATGAATTATGGCCTTCAAATTGCCAATGAAACCGTAACACGCTGCCCGAATATTGCTTTGGCCCATTCTCCGCGATGCGCTTGCTTGAGGTGATAGACCCTTTGATATTTTTTAGTGCCAACCTTCCTTTCCAAAATACTCCAGACACAATAGTCCAACGGATTGGTATCCGAAGATTTTGGTGGCCATTGTGCGCTGGAAATGAAGGGAGGAACCTCATTTTGTAACCATTCTTGGGTGGCCAGTGCTGAGTGCGATAATGCTGAGTCCTGTTGGAGTATCCAAGGTCTGCGGCCAAAATGTTTGCGTGTTCAAGGCTTTAATACACCCTCCAGAATATTTTCGCGATGATATTCGGCATTTATTCTGATGCCACGGTCGATTAATACGAGCGGAGAGCGACCATCGGCTGTTATGGCGGCCCACACCATAACCATGGCCAGTGCTTGAGTTTTGGGGGCAAACTGAAGGTACACATTTTCAGCTGACCTCTTTGGCAAGTAAACACGATCATTTTGTTTGTTTACAAACTGCCGGACAACGAATGTTTTCTCATCGGAGAAAACCAAATTTCGGCATTTCAACACTTTCGGCCAAGCGGTGTAAGTTCTTGCACTTTTTGGAATTTCAATGGCTTTACCTCGAGGTCATTTTTCAATATTTGCCGAATGGAATATTGCGATATGTTCAGTTCACGAAACATTTTTCGACCACTGCGACGCGGGTTTCGATCTTTACTTTTCGAACCATTTCAGATGATGTTGCTGTTTTCTTCCGTCCACTTTCTTGACGTCGGGCTACGCTACCAGTATCACGATAATGTTCTGTCACTGTTGGACGAGAGGCTTAGAAATGAGAGCAGTCTGAAGTTGGTTGCAGTTTTTTCATCTTGCCCTGTATGGAATGTAAATGCGACTGTAAAGACGACTGTAAAGACAGCTGTTAAAGTGTGTGTAAATACGTATATTGAGGCGCCTGTAAAGGCTTCTGTATCGGCGACTGTTAAGGCGTCTGTATAGACCACTGTTAAGCCGTCTATTAAGGAATTAGGAGTGAGCTCACAGGAAGTTTATGTTAAGCGTCTAAAGAGATTTGCTGCGAGTCAAAGTCTATCGAAGCATATACTTCATGGAAGAGTGCTACTCTGGACTCCTTAAAATTAATTTATGAAACTTTTATTTTTTAATTCCTTTCCAATTCCAATTCTCTATTTTCTCCATCCCAGTGTCAGATCAAATATTCACCTCTCTCTCGCTCTCTCTCTCTCTGTGTGTGCATGGTCAGTTCAGTGGAATTTTTATAACAAAATAACGACAGGAAAAAATCCTATAAATAATACAAACATAAAACGTAGAAAAATTTTGTGAAAGCACACACACACACATGTACACATAACACAAAAAGTAAACAATTGTGGGTATGTAAATGAAATAACGAAATTTTTATTTGGTTTTCCCTTCACATGAAGGGAAAACAAAAAACGAAACGTATGTGACCAAATAACGTCACACCAATGTCGTAAAAAAAGTATAAAGTTCAACAAAGCGTAAACTTTGTGATGTAGAATATTTGGAGTGGAAGTAAAATACACACACACACATACATTCAATTCCTTGATTAGTTTGGAAACTGTTACAGAATGTAAAAAGGTTGAATAAAAGCTCTTTAAGAGAAAGTAAAATAACTAGTGCAGTTGAAGGCGAAGTATTACATTTTAAAGAAAAGAAAAAAATAAAGAAAATTAAAATAAAAAAGAAAGCATAGTTTATGGGGTATAATTCTTTAAGGATATACTTTAAGGAGATCTACGAAAGCTTTATTATTATATGCCATTAGAAATTCTTCAAGGTTTTTTTCAATGTTCCAATTTTAAATGATTTAATTCATTCCAATTTTTTAAAGAAAAGAAAAAAAAAAATAAAGGTAATTTAAAGAAAATAAGTAAGAAAACGTTAAGTTCGGCAGGGCTGAACTTTTAATACCCTTAGGGTAAAGGAAACATTAGAACCCATTATGATCCTCAAATACCAATTTCTAGACATATTAATGGAAAAATGTGGCAAAAACCATCAAAACACCAAATATCGGGAGATACCGCTATATGGGCGCTATACCAAATCGTGGACCTATATATGGAATGTTTCGCCACCGGAGCTAGAAGCCATTATGACCAACAAATGTCAATTTCTACCCTCCATCATTTGGTACAAATTTGGCAATTTTCAAAAAAAAAAAAAATAAAATAAATAAATAAATAAATAAAATCCGTTGAAAATCTTAAAAATAATTATTTATATTTAAAATAATAATTAAAAATGTCGCCGTATATTAGGGTCTATACGACGTGGACCTGCATATGCAACTATTATCATGAGCTATTACAATATTCAAATGCGAAACTTGAAAAAATCTGTTTATAATGTAGCTAAAATCATCAAAATACCGAATATAGGGAGGTACCATGGGGGTTATAAAACGTGGACCTGCACAGACAATTTTCTGGCATTGGCTGCAGTAACCATTATAAACTTCAAATACAAAATTTAAAATAATTCCGGTACATAATGTTGCTAAAATCATCAAAATACCGAATATCGGGGGGTACCGTTATATGGGGGCTTTACGAAGACGTGAACCTGCATAGACAATTTTCTGCCACAGGCTGTATTATTCATTACGAACTTCAAATACCAAATTTGAAACAATTCCGGTAAATAATGTCGCTGAAATCATAAAAATACCGAATATCGCGGGGTACCGTTATATGGGGGCTATACGAAGATGTGGACTTACATGGCCGATTTTTTGTCTTTAGCTGTAGTATCCATTACGAACTTCAAATATTAATTTTGAAACAATTCCGGTAAATAATGTCGCTAAAATCATCAAAATACTGCATATCGGGAGGTACCGTTATATGGGGGCTATAGGAAGACGTGGACCTACATGACACATTTTCAATACCAAAAGTCCTGCAGACATAATACACATTTGAGTAAAATTGTGTCAACCAACTTCATTTCGTTCGGAAGCTAGAGTGATTTCCACAGACGGACAGACAGATAGACGGACGGACATCGTTACGTGGATATAGAATATTATGCTGATCATGAATATATACTTCGAGGGGTCTA